AGCAAGCCGACCTCTTGCTTCGCATAATGAAAAGGGTACCTCGTTAAATCCACGACGATGTATGAAACCAAATAGAAAAAAGGAAGACGTAGATTTAAAAATAGAACGAAAATTTTGCGCGCACGTTTGTCTACATCGTGCATGCGGCAAAGCTTGCAGGGTGTGCCAGGTACACGTTGAGATATCTTGCGAGCTAGACGAAGCACTCGTGGCAGCGCATGCAACAATTAGCTCTACGTTTTCCTTTTAATTTAGCGTTTACCTTCTAATCTGGAAATACTGATATTTTAGCAATACTGTAAATTCTCTCCAATTGTCCCTCAGCTTGGAAACGAAAATGGATAATTTGGGGGAGGAGATACTATATTTATATAGATTTATAGATTTATAGATTTATAGATTTATATATAGATTTATGGATTTATAGATTTATAGATTTATAGATTTATAGATTTATAGATTTATAAATTTTATAGTTACCGATTGTCAACTATAAAAACGAGCCGCAAAGCTGGAATAATCGCAGCTCCTCTTCTCAAAGTGTCTATTTTTGTTTCCAAGCTGAGCTCCCAATTAGGGAGAATTTCCTGTCGCACGTGAAACCGATTATAAGTGTGAAACTAGAGTTAAATCTAATTAGCTTTTAAAAGAATTGTCTACTAAAAGAAAAACCGTAATTCAAATACCACAAATTGGGTATTTCATTATTTATTACTACAAAAAAAAGGCGGAAGAAGTTACGACAAAAGCAGGCAAATTGTTGGTGAAAGCAACGGAATAAGCTATTCCAGTGTACGCGCTTATAGCAAATTTCGTTTGGAAACGAATTACGTAAATGTATCGATACAACGTAGTTATATGAAATTATAGTTAAAAAGTTAAAGGTACCAAATATAGAACTTGAACTTTCTCTTAGCACGTGACTGATTCCCGGTTCCTACACTTTTACCCGTCCCTCGATTCCCGAGACGCTCGTGAACGTAGAATCGTTGTGCATCTGTTTCATAATCAGCCAAACATGCCACCGATTTAGATAACTGCGACTAAACTTTTCGTAATTTAACACGTTGAGTATCGAATATCGGCTTGAAAAATTTACGGGATATCAAAGTCGTTTAATTAACGAGACCGAAACTAGAAAGTGCAAATTTTCCATAGGAAATATTTCAGTTCAGCCATAATTATTGTCATGTCTCTACGAATGGTATTTTCAATTATTTCGCTATGCTATCTAGAGGAGTCTAAACGATGTTTCTCTACACGGTGATATCGACCGAAACGATTAGATAATGTTCTTGGGAACGACTTGTTGTCACCGATCGACGTAGTTAGCGCCACTAAACAATTAATGAAGAACTTTTTAACGGTACGTTACGGTCTTTTTGGAAAGTAAAGTTAAATCATTGCCGGTAGTTAATGTGTTAAGTTCCACGATAAGAAAATAAAGTGCTGTACGTTACGCCATTATGATGCTATTAACGTCGTGTTAAATGTACCAAAGATTTTTCTTGTTACGCACGGCTGTTGTTAACGCTGCAAGATGTTGTAACAAATTAAAATTTACAATTTATAAGAAAGTTTGATGTAAGACATTTTGTATATACAGTAATGTCCCCCTAACTGACGCACAGATTGCGCCCAAAAATGGACAATTCGTGAAGAGAAGATACGATTATTCGAGCCTTGAGGTTTATTTGCTGTCTCTTATACACATCTAGATGTGTATAAGAGACAGCAAATAAACCTCAAGGCTCGAATAATCGTATCTCCTCTTCCCAAATTGTCGTTCTAAGTGGCCAAACTGAGCGTCGATTAGAGAGACATTACTGCATCCTGGTGTATACAGTAATGTCTCCCTAATTGACGCTCGGATTGCGCCCAAAAATGGACAATTCGTGAAGAGAAGATACGATTATTCGAGGCTCGCGTCTCGTTTTTATAATTGTTAACAATTCGTAACTATAACAAATAAACCTCAAGGCTCGAATAATCGTATCTCCTCTTCCCAAATTGTCGATCTTTGTGGCCAAACTGAGCGTCAATTAGAGAGACATTACTGTACATACAATTAGGGAGAATTTACTGTACGCCTGAATTACTGATTACTGTCACGCCTAAATTTCGTTCGCGTTGGTTCCGCAGCAGGTTGCACTAAAAGAGACTTTCACAATGTTCCGATACCGTTAAACGTCTGTCGACGAACGAAAAATAAATCGTTCGACAGATAGAAATATGCTTGCGATGAAATGTCGCTTCGTTCTATAAAAATGATAAAAGAATTTAACGATTGAACGCTGAAAATACGACACGAACGAAATCACTTATTCTTTGGACGTTTGGAATCAAGCGGCTCAGTGTTTTTTTCTTTTTTTTTTCAAAGTAAGTTTATTTTTCTCATTTCAGTCATAATATGCAGAGAATAATCCTACTTAAAAATACTTTTAACATTAATAATAAAAATTTTGATAGCTATTAGTTATCAACTTGGATAAACTCTATAGCTAGCTATGGTAATATGATATGTTTTAGGCACGTTATTAGGGCGAGAGATTTATATGCTATCAGTCTTGTATCGTTAGTTGTTAGTAAAAGAAAAGGAGGAGCGCGGCTCAGTGGTCTAGGGGTATGATTCTCGCTTTGGGTGCGAGAGGTCCCGGGTTCAAATCCCGGCTGAGCCCAATTTTTTTTTCTGACCTTTTCTGCACCGTAACAGTATCATTTATTATTTTTTTGATGAATCGACAGTGACCTCTGTAAATTATATTACAAAACTGACCAAAATATTTAATTCGTAAATATGTAGAGGTAGCAGTAAATTCTCTCGAATTGTCTCTCGGCTTGTAAACAAAAGTGGACAGTTTCGGAAGAGGAGACACGATTATTCGAGCCTCGTGGCTCGTTTTTATGGTTGTTGACAATCGGCGACTATAAAAACGAGCCGCGAGCCTCGATTAATCGTGTTTCCTTTTCCCAAATTGTTCTTTTTCATTTACATGCTGTGGGACAATTCGAGAGAATTTACTATATTCATGAAACTATTTGTAAATTATAGATAAACTATTATATACTTCGGTATTTTATCGTATTTAACGTATTATATTCTCGCTTAAAGTTCTGATCGCTTATGCTTCGCATTAGTAGCGTTTCAAATTGCATTATTTTTTTAGCTACTCGAATTTGATTTCATGATTTTCGTTTATTAATTCGTAAATTCTATTTTCTACGTCTCAATTAATGCACATACTTAAAATTTGGTTAAGTTCGTATGTTTAGTCGGTATAAAAAGCGTTCGTGCCTCTTTTAAAACAAAATAAGCTTTTCAAAATCGTATGTCAGTCGATCACGATGTTATTACAAGGTAAATATCGATATATATTGCTTGTTATTTATAAAAAGTTGATATTGAAACGACGTACAATAAAATCGATATGTAACATACGGAAGAGAACGGGGACTATCGGTATAAAAGAAAGAAAAGCGTGAGCGGCTCAGTGGTTTTTTTTTTCAAAGTAAGTTTATTTTTCTCATTTCAGTCATAATATACAGAGAATAATCCTACTTAAAAATACTTGTAACATTAATAATAAAAATTTTGATAGCTATTAGTTATCAACTTGGATAAACTCTATAGCTAGCAATGGCAAGCGGCTCAGTGGTCTAGGGGTATGATTCTCGCTTTGGGTGCGAGAGGTCCCGGGTTCAAATCCCGGCTGAGCCCAATTTTTTTTCTGCTTCTTTTTTTACAATCGTTTTTCCAAAATCATTCTATTAACATTCACATACTATACCTATATATTTATATTATAACATTCGCGTATTTATTTAATTTCTAATATTTTTCAATCATATGTAAGCATAAAATATAATGTATCGTTGAATAAAATCACTTCGTATAATTAAGCTGAGATATAAATATCGTGCAATATTGCATAATTTTCATGCAACAAAGATCCGAAGAAAGGAGATCTTTTTTTGCATCGACCAAAGAGTTTCTTACGTTGAGCATAGAATACTAACAAGGTTAACATTTGTTAATACAAACAGGTTTCTTACACTTCACATATTTGCATATACCATAATTGCATTAAGATCCGTAGTCCACTTACCGCTGTTCGATGCATCCTCTACTGGAATGCCGCAGGTTTTCACTGGAACGAACTCGTTTCTCTATTAGGAATAACCCGCAGACGAACTTAAACGAAGCCAGCAACATAAGAAACGTCCTCCTTTATTCGAAATGTATAAATCTTATATGGAGAGACCCGGTAACGTCGTCCTCGTCTCGTCGACAATATATGCGCATATGTACATGATGAGTCAAGCAACCTGCACATCCCGAATAACTTTTAAACCGCGCGTTTTAATGAAAAATTGTTAAATATTTATCGTTGTCTTATAAGAACGACGAGACAGAATTTATTTTGACATTTCGCCGGCTCTGTTATAACGTGCGCTTGAATTAACAAATTTATTCGATTGTCTCGTATAAAAGAGCCTTTGCAATGTCAGCCACGAATAAATAAATTTAACTGTAATGATTATATGATTTACCAAAATTATTGCACAAGCGGGAAATGAGGGATTCCTTAGGTCATTCGAAGTAACTTTTTCCTCAGCGAAAATGCGATCCGCGGCTTCGTTTACGAGTTATTCGCGAAAAACAGTGATCAATGAGAGGCGAGATTAGCTGGCGCGAGGCGGAGTTCCGCGCCCAGTTCCGCTGATTGGCTCGCCCACCTAGTGGTAGCCGATCTCGCCCCTCATTGGTCACTGTTTTTCGTCGATAACTCGTAAACGAAGCGGCGGATTGCATTTTCGCAAAGGAAAAAGTTGCTTCAAATAATCTCAGGAACCCCTCGTATCTCGTTTGTCACAATAATTTTACTACGCCCTGTACGATTTGTGATATACAATTTGACTGTAATCGATTATAAACAATTAACTAAATTTCTGCTCGATCGAGACGACCAAGTAAGTGACTTTTCTACGAATGATTTCAGGCCCGGCGCGATGGCGGCTGAGGAGGGTGCGCTGAGTGGTAGTCTTGGAGCAAAATTAAAATGTCCGACCCCCATATCACGGTTAAGGGTGGAGAAGATAGAAGGCGGCCTGATGGTGGCTGGAGTGGTAATAGCTGCGAACTGTCAGATTGCTCTTCCGGCATTCGGGTTTCTCTTCATGCTTGTTGGCGCTGTGCTCACTGGTTTGTATCTTCCTCCTTATTGTTCCTACTCGCTGTACATACATGGCTTCCTACGTACATACATATATATCGGCACCATTGTGTTCCCGCGTGACTTTCCGCTAACATTAGAACGGAACAAGGAGCGAGAATGTATATCTCGGTTGTTCTTGATAATAACTTTCACGATAATGTTCTCGCTTGGAAACCGACACCTTTCTATCGCCGACTAATCCGAGTTGTTTCGCGGACGATTTCGCGGAACGTTACGTGGACAATGAGAGATGTAACAGCGATTTTCTGGTTACGTGAACTACGCGGATTTCGTTCGGAAAGTTCGTTCGTTTCTAAAAAGAATTTTTATTTTCCAATGCCGTTGCAAAAGCAGCTATATTTAGTCGCAAACGATGCGAGCACGTGGCTCCGTCGACGATGAGAATAATTTTCCATACATAGACGGACATTTCGCGCTGATCTGACAGAAGCCTCTATCGTATTCCGGGAATTTGATTAGCGATGTCGGATAGGAAACCTTGCGTCGAACGTTTAAGCTGCCGGTGGTTGTTTTGAACGGCGAAGTTACAAGACGCGATCGATTCCACGGAAATTACTGCGTTGATACGTGTACGGTACGCGATCGGAAAATAATAGGATTCCGCGAATCTAACAAAGACAGTCCGTGCGATCGTTCGAGAGAGTATCAATCGTCGCTGTACGCACGTGGCGTGCAACGTTCAAACGCGTTCTAAAATGAATCACTTTTGATCTCTTCGTTCTGTGTTGTGTTTTACTTACAAATATATTATAACTTAGAGTTATAACTTATAAATATATATATAATATTCACGTATAATATATTATAGATAAATATAATACATAATAATTATAAATATAAATATAATTTATTATATACTAATATAATATTACAATATATGTGTATATTAATTTATTATTATATATATTTATATTTATATACATATATTTTAAGTTATTATTTTTAGTTATAATATAAGTAAGTATAATAATAGTTATGATATTGTGGGTGCGTACTTGATCGATGCTGAGGTTCAGTAAATAGTTGTGCAGCGTTGTGGTGTGCACGTGGATTTTATTACCGTAGGCGAAGAGTGTGACGAGCCGATGATAAGAGTCGCGATTCGGGACAGCGAGACGATGGAAGAGAAAAACTAAGAAGTACTGACTGACTCGTCTCGCTGTGTCTTGGCTGTTATTTATATTACGTCCCCCAAAAAGGCCACGCCTTTTTTTGAGACTCGCTGTCTTCTTTTACCCCCGTTTAGTTTGGCGGGGGAGACAGCCATCGTTGAACCCTCGCTGTAGGGGCGCGCTGGTCGTTCGGCCAGGTAGCGGTACGCGGCCGGCGGCTTTCTCCGCGACCAGGCATGCAGTACATCTGGCAGTGATAAAAAATAAAGAGACAAAGGAATTTCCGGTTCTTGCAAACGTCAAGGACGTTTTCTCTCCGTCGAACCCTTGACATCTGCAAGCGGACAGTTTTATGGTTATTACGGTCGCCGACCGTGTGCCGCTACAATATATTATAACTTAAAGTTATAACTTACAAATATATAAATATATATATACAATATTTATGTATAATATATTATAGATAAATATAATTTATTATATACTAATATAATATTATAATATATATGTATATTAACTTATTAATATATTATATATATTTATATTTATATATAATATATATTATATAAATATTGTAATTTAAAAAAAGCAGTGTCCATCCTTAATTCAGAATTTCCGAAGAACATTCAATAATTTTTGGGACTCGATATAATAAATAATCGATAATGTTTACAGAGTGCCCAAGATATACGGCGCATCTTTTATTTCGTCAAACGCTTAAAATTTCGTTCACGAGTATTACGTAATACGAGACGACATTGGATTAGATTATTTCCTATTGAATACATTATATGGCTTGCATAATTCTCGCTAGTTCGCCGTCAGGTGTCGTTGCAAAGTAATTCAATACGGTTGTATCAAATTGACAATCAACGGTGACTGGAGTGTGAGTGAATGATAAGATGCTCCGAACGTCTGCGTTATTGGACCTGGCATGTTTGAATAAACATCGATCGATGCTGGCCGCATCATTTTCATTTATCACCGTCTGGTCGTTTTTATTGGAAGTGGTAGATTTATGTCCGCGGGAACGAACGTACGTACGTTCGGGTTGTTTCGGTCCAATGGAACAGCCTCTGCCATCTTCGAGAAATACAGAAATTCTAGAATGTCAACTTTTATAAAAGACGATGACGATCAGACTGCGAATCTTTATGCAAAATAAATATTCTCTTGCTACAGACAAATTGTTTAAACGTTCTAGCTATTTTCCAGTCGAATGCGTAAACGTTTCTATTGCATTAATTTATGCATTTGTTGCATACACATGTGTAAAATCTGCAATCTAACAGCGGGATAAGCACCACGGAGCAGCAGAGTATACTTTTACGAGGAATATTGCACGACCTTGATGCAATGTTTTTATTCCGCGATCGTAACAAACTTTACGCCGTTAATCGCCACTTAACATTAATTAAGGTATCAGAACCGGGACGAGAAAGTCGCCTACGCTTAACCTTTCCCTTCAATACGGGATATAATGTGTAATTTCCCGACTGAAATCAAACTTTCCTCTTAACATTTAAACTTCTGCTATGCACCCTCGAGATGATTTTGTGATCGCGGATGCAGCGCCATTGGCGAAATTTTCTGTTCGAAATTTCTATTCGAAAAGTGCCACCGATTCTTTTGATTATTCGATGCAAAATGTCAAAATATAGGCACATATCTGTGTTACACTTTCACGTATGTATTCGTACACGTGTATATTCTCCTAGTACATATATTCAGTGAATAACTAATTCTCAATTTATACATGGAAACAATGTGTTTTCATTTTCATTTTTCATGCGAGCCTACAATGGAAATTTTAAAAAATGCCGCAAAATGAATTTGATTTGCAAAGATGGCGTATCTGATTTGGAAATACGTCGAGCAGGTTCTGCGAAAAAATGCAATTGATTTGAGAAGGGTGAAACGGTGCCTGTTAACCAGTTAGCTGTGTTCGACGAGTATACTCGTCGTCGCTCGATGAAAAGGGGGCGGCACAGCTAACAGATTAAAAAGACGAGTCTAGGGTGCTCGAGCTGTGGACATAGAGCAAAGAAATCGAAAATCATTGTCGCTCGCGATGCCGCAGGTACAGTAATGTCTCCCTAATTGACGCCGAAATTGTGCACAAAAGTGGGCAATTTGGGAAGAGGAGATACGATTATTATTCGAGCCTTGTGGCTCGTTTTCATAACTGTTGACAATTCGTGACTATAAAAATGAACCGCAAGGCTCGAATAATCGTGTCTCCTCTTCTTAAATTCTCCATTTTTGTGGACAATCCGAGCGTCGATTAGAGAGACATTACTGCATCCTGGTGTATACAGTAATGTCTCCCTAACTGACGCTCGGATTGCGCCTAAAAATGGACAATTTGGGAAGAGGAGATACGATTATTCGAGCCTCGCGTCTCGTTTTTATAATTGTTAACAATTCGTAACTATAACAAATGAACCGCAAGGCTCGAACAATCGTGTCTCCTCTTCCTAAATTCTCCATTTTTGTGGACAATCCGAGCGTCGATTAGAGAGACATTACCGTATCGGCCGTCACGCTAAAATATCCAATCGCTTTATCCTCGGCGTGGTCGTCCAGTATCAGCGTTTGAGAACCACTTTCGAGGTGATCGAACCCTAGGGTGGCGATGTAGCGTTTATGTCACGAAGACGAAGAAGAAGCTGAAGAAAAAATGTTGGAAGAAAGGTTGGGCTGTTCACCAACAGGCAACAGCTGGTCGTTTACTTGTTACCCACAGTTTCTCGGATACGAGAGCCTGGACGGTTGTTACCAACCGATTTATTAAAACCGGTCAGTCCTTCCCAACCTCCTTCGTTATTCTTTTTCTTGCCCCCCGGCACTCTCGATGAGACCGGTCCTGCAGCCCATTTCCCTTTCGTTCCATGTCATTTGTTCGCAAAGCACAGCTACTCTACATCGAATCGACCATTATCAACCAAACATCGCGAGCGACCTGCGAAATCGCACAAATTTTGGCTTGTCTCACTTTTCGGCGATTTCTCGTCGTTTCTCGTAATTTTCCCTATGCTCGGAATTCAACGGCATTGGTAAAAATAATTACGGTAAAACGTACATCGTAAGCATTGTTATTATTTTATTCGCACACCACGATACTTTCGAGCTGATGATTTAATGATAATTTGATTCCTGTAAATTTCAGCATGCATAAACAAGATCTACGGAAGGGATGTTTTTGAATTTTCATTGTAGACTCGCGTAGAAATGTCGAAATACGAGAGCTTTTCTAATCGTTTCGTTTCCTTCTGCTATCGCAATTATTTCCGATACATCGTAACAGAGTATTATCTTAATTAATAATTCACCATTTACCATATACTTTCTTAAATATTTACCCTACCCTTTCTTAAATATTTTTAGCCAGCTCTCGATGCTCTCAGTCGCCGACACACCGAGTAATCGATAATTAACATTCGTCTATTTTCTTCACCCCATGGCTTTTCGTGTCGCTTCGTGGCGCATCCTTTCAACGCAATCTTTCTCGATCACTCGTTCGCGTTCAAACGACGTTTCCAATAAAAAGAAAAAAAGAGTCTCACAATGCGCAGGTCGTTTACGCGCGATCTTCTCCCGTCTGGCGCATTGTTCGAAGACGAGGATCTCGAAATCTGAAAGAAAGGAATAATGACCGGAACGAGGGGATCGTTGGATCGTTTTTCCTGGCCCCGGGAAAATGGCTAGGAGCGCGCGATTAACGTTCCCATTTTTCTGTCGCAGCTGCATCCTATCGAGGACCCGGCGAAGACGAAGACAAGGACTCGTACGCAGCCAGGATCGCGTTTACGGGAAACTCGCGAATCCTCGGGCCGATTTGTATCGTAGTCGGCGCGCTTATGCTCGCCCTAGGCGTCTTACTGTGCATGCTGACCAGGAGGGCGAGAAGAAGGGAACGCAGAGTCGGCTTCCATTGTCCGCTTCACGGCGATTTTTACCCCCTGAGTCCTGTCCAGGGTGTCAAGATGCTCGGTAAGTTTAAAATATCGCAGTTGAATAATGTAGAAAAAAACGCTATTTCAGATGACATTTCTCAAACTGAACGGAAACACTTGAATTTCTTGAAGGTATTAGAAACGAGGGGTTGCTAGAGTCATTTCAAGTAACTTTCTCCTTAGCGAAAATTCAATCCGCCGCTTCGTTTACGAGTTATTAGCGAAAAACGCTGACCAATGGGTGGCGAGCTCGGTCGGCGCAAGACGGTGCCGATCAGCGGAACTCCGCCTCGCGTCAGCCGAGCCGATCATCTCGCCTCTCATTGGTCACTGTTTTTCGCTAATAACTCGTAAACGAAGCCGCGGATCGCATTTTCGCAAAGGAAAAAGTTGCTTCGAATGATCTCAGAAATCACCCCCTTCCGGATATTAACATAATTATGGGACACCTTGTATATAGACCTCACTGAATAGTATTATAAACGAGGGTCGTAGCGATTTTTCTTCGGTACACGATCGAAATTATTATTATTATTTCTCGCGAACGATCGAAATAATTTCCGGTTATTCGGATCATCTTAAAGCTTCTCCATGAAAAAGATCTACGACGCGCGGCACGAAGCGCAAGGAAATTATTTTTCACATCGGCGATACATCGGTATGTGCGCGGCCCACGTTTGAATTTCCGGACGACATGCAAACTATCAGATTACCTCGCTTTCTCTTGTTACGTATCGGTTATGCACAAAGCGAGGAACCGAATAACCACGTTTCCATGCGGCGATTTTAAACGATCGTTCCGATCCCGATCGTCGAACGATGTTTTTACTTTATTCCATTCGATTCCTCAGTTTTCGAGCGCGTTCAAACAATGGAAGCGGAGAACCGTAAGTTCAACCTCGATTATCGAGATGATTGGCAAACATTTGCCGAATATCTGCCCTACGGGACAGAGGTTTCCGGGGAGCTCGGCGGAATTTTAGCTACGGCTGACATATTCGGGGAACGACAACCCGCGGGAGCCGCAAACGCGTCTAACAGATCGGCAGAATAAGTTGATAGACTTGTATTAGCCCGAATTCCGACAATCCAGTTAGCTACCCTAACCCTGATCCAGCCTCGTCCTGAATTCAAAGCAATTGACGGGAACTGGAGCACTCTCTGATAAACGTTTCCGATGGGCTTCCCAGCGCTGGATCGACATTTGACAGCAGAAAACTGTAAAATGTCTTCGAGAAACACTAATTCCCTGCGCGCCTTTCAAACCTATTGTCACGGAATATCTGACACCGTCGCGTCTCTGCGCTTCGACCGAATCCATTACGGAGGTTACAGTAAATTCTCCCTAATTGACGCTCGGATCGCGCGCAAATATGGACAGTCTGGGAAGAGGAGATACGATTATTGTAACCTATAATATGTTATAAGTTGTAATAGGCTATAATAAATAAATATAATAAATAGGCTATAATATATTATTATAATTCATTGTAGCCTATAATATATTATTATAATTCATTATAGCCTATAATATATTATTATAATACATTATAGCCTATAATATATCATTATAATACATTATATAAATATAATATTATATAAATTATATAATATTATATACATTATATAAATAGGCTATAATGAATAAATATCATAATAAATAGCCTATAATATATTATTATAATCTTGCGCCTCGTTTTTATAATTACCAATTGTCGACAACTATAAAAGCCGCGGGGCTCGAGTAATCGTATTCTCTGGAATAGACACGATTTTCGAGATATCTTCGTTTTTCGTGGATCAACCTTTTTTTTTATATCGACACTCGCTTTGTAATCTTCGTATTTTTCAATGGCGTCTAGTTCATGGCATCTCTCGAAACGGGTCTTGACATTAGAATCGGAGTTCCGATAACCTTTAACACGAACTTCTTTCGCATCGCATTTTTTACATAAAGATACAGTTAGTTTCTCATTTGTCTTATTTCATTACATTTTGGAATGTAGTTGTAACACAGGGCTGCAAATGCTTTTGCGGATTTTATATGTAACAAATCGTGGATCATATACGGGTCGGCGCATACATACGGTTTTTACGGTTGAACTTTGATCGCCGGCGTTTCACGTGACAGCATCGATATCAAAACGGAATGAACGATGGACCATAAATTCTGATGTCTGGAGCAGGACGTAAAATATGTTTAAGATAAATTACATAGCGAGTTTCTCCGGGAGCATCGAAGCAACGTGACGGACAAATAAAATTTATTTATGGTAGCATCGACGTTGACGTTAACACGAAATTGCCGTTTTTCAATGGTTGAAGATTTTTCATTATTTTCCTATGTAATATATGCAATATATTATTGCACATGTTTTTAATATATTTTTAATATATTAATATTTAAGAGAGAGAGAGAGAGAGAGAGAGAGAGAGAGAGAGAGAAAGAGAGAAATACTATTGGAACGTAGGCCCGTAAAATACAAGATGCAACAAATGTATGTTTCACGTCAAGCGAATCGTGCAGGAAAGTTACATGAAACATTCAGAAGCTCGGGGAGAGGTGGCACTGAAAAATTTAAAGTGCTCCGGGCTGTAAGGAAACGGGTGCGCGCGCGCGCGCGGTGAGTGGTAGCGCAAATTTCTCGGGAATTTCTTCCATCGTTTCTCAATTTCACCCATCATAATTCAACTCGCGACGACGGAACGAAACAATACTATAGTCTCCGTATCCAGTCAGATCCAGTCAGGTACGAAAACATTTTAATTACCGAGCACTCTCGCCAGCGAGCATGTAATCGGCGATTCGAAGAGAGAAAGTAATATTCGATTCGGTTCAACGTTTGTTATCGTTCCGATATGCGAAATCGATTAAAACCTGCGCATCGTTTCTTGTTGAATAATAACAGTCCCATGCTGCCTTTCTGCCTTGCCGCGCTCCTAAATTAAGCGTCCCGTTGGGCACGTATCCGTGATAGAAGATGGCTTTAAGTACTGTCAGCGGTACAATAATCTTTGGTCGGTTATTTTGCAATTTACGCGATTCTGTCGCACACGCGCTCGCGTGCACCGCAATTGACGTTACGCGTTACCGACAATGTGCTAACAAGTTGATAAACGATAAGACGATTCCTGGTAGAGCCTGCGTCAGAGCACCGATGCGCTTTTCTTTCCTAATTTTTGCGGGCTTCGCGACATTGGAAAATTCCGGCAACCGCGGATCTCTCTGCCGTTGTTTTCCATTTTAACGCTGGGTTTACCAGTCTATCTTTTATGGAACTATTTGCGAACACATTTTCCTTAAATAACCTTTTATTTTGCAATAATTTTGTAATAATAATTTCTAAATATATACAATAGTAATTCATAAATATATATAATAATAATAAATTAATATATATATAATAACAAATAAATTTTATAGTAATAATTTGGTAAATAATAATTTGGTTATTCAACCTTATGGAACATTATTGACTTGCACAGTATTCTTGGAAATACGCTTGCAGTCGGTGACAAAAATATTCGGATTCTTTTCAAGTGACTTGAATTTTTTCTAAACGAAAATAGCTAATCCACGATCGCCAAGAAACGTCTTATCGTGTCAGGGGGGCAAGGGCGACGCTGAGGTTTCTGTAGGTAAAGTTTCGCGAATCAGCAATGACCGTGCCAACACGAAACGAATGTAGGACGATGCGTTCGCTCATTTCATCTAGGCAAACTATCGGATTATCGATGTTCTTGTTCCATTTCATTTCCGAGCCCCTGCCTAATTAATTCCATAGTACACGTCTCATTTGATTCTTGCAACAGCGGCGACGCAGTCCATTGCGATTAAATTGTTGCACGAGGTCGCAATAACAAACGTTATTTGTCGCATCGCCGCGGCCATGGGTAATCGAGCAAATGTTTTCGCTGATTGTTTCTAGTTCCATTTCCCCGTCGTTTCTATTATCTTCGAAATTACCGTTTCTGTTACCTTCGATGGATTTTCATTGATATAATTTTCGTTGCATTAAAGGGAACAAGGCATTTTTATTCGTACGCTCGCATGCGAATCGTATTATCTTCGCCGATGAAGTTAATGAGCGTAACAATTTTTTGAAAATTATACACCGAGGTGTATAAGAGATTTTATAATCGCATAGAAGCGATTATATTTGTACTAATTTAAGCGATCGCGTTGATAACTCTGCAATGCGTCATCCGCGACGCGAGCTCGCTCATGCGTTAAGGAATAATTGCCGTTCGATGCATTCTATAAAATTGTTCTATACCGCCCGTACTTTCTAGAATTTTTCTGCGCGCGTGTGTGCATTTTTTGTACGAATTTCAGAATTCTTCGTAAAACGCTTGCAAGCGCTTTGTAAAAAGCACCGTTTGTAGCTTCCCTTTTTTAGCATTTTGTAGAAGTGCTAGGACTTCGAGAAAATTGTTCTCGAAGCAATTTTTTTGCCCCGTCTTACGTTAAAACATTGCGTATACTTTATGCGTTATTTTATATGCGAGCAACTGGAACGTTGCCGCTTGCATAGAAAGTTGCATTTAACCATGCGCTCGAATTGTTGTTGTTCGTCTCTTTTACGGAAAGTTTGATCACGCTTAAGTTTTACGTTACACCATGATATTGCTATGCTTTGGCGCGACGTTAATGAGATCTCCCGCCAGTTCTTTGTTGAAAACAAATCTCCATAATTGCCGCGCCGCGCAAATTGTTTACCGATGCCCGGTGACAATTTATCTCGCCTCGGAGCAGGATCAATGAATGATTCACCGAATGATTCCTGAAGATTTCTAATGCCGCCTTGATGAAGAAGTTCCATTCACACGTGATTCTTCATTCGTTCATCATCGTGCAAACAGATCATTCTCTGTTATAGAAGAACGTATAATTTGCAATCATTAGTCATGAATTCACTACCGAGGGACGGCTTCGGCGCATTTGTCAGAGTCGAATGTTCTTCACAGTACCGTGAGGAGTTAGTCGTCCGTGATCGAGAGCCGTTGCTTTTGGAACAAGACTTCTCTAAGGAGGATCTATTAGATCATGCGAACGTTATTCATTTTATGTCGTAAATTGCATCTCTCTGAAATCGGTATATGAAATCGCCCGTTAACCGGTTAGCTGTGTTTGACGTGTACACTCGTCACGGAGAAGCGGCAGTGTTTTTTATCGCGACGAGTATGCTCGTCGAGCGGAAAAAGTGGGCCATCGGCTGCTTAAAAGTTCCGAGCTTAAAGTTCCGATCGCTTATGCTGCTGCTATAGCCACTGCTATTAGCAGCGCTTCAAATAGCATTATTTTTTAGCCTCTCGAATTTCTTTTCACGATTCTTTATTTATTAATGCATAAATCCTATTTTCTACGTCTCAATCAATGCATATAAAAATGAGTCGTATCTCCTATTCCAACATTGTCCATTTTTGTTTGCAAGCTGAGGGAAAATTAGGGAGAATTTCCTGCATTATTATATTCTGCATATATCATATATTGCATATATTATGTAAAAATATCGATCGGAAAGATTCGCTTTTTTATACCAATGTTTAAAAGCCGAGCGACAATTGCGGAGAATTTACTGTGCACGCACTCGTCGCACGAACATCCGGTCTCGAACAATCATTATTTCCAAGAACAAGGATAACGTAACCATTAGCAAAATGTAGCCCGATAATCAATCGCATTCGAACGAAGTCCCCGTCGCGTCCGTCGGATTAACGTACCCGGGGACGATACGATCGGGCCTCGTTATTCGTGTTTCGTCGTCGCGTTCGAATCGTCGATCAATAAAACGGCTGCTTATGCATTGTTCCGCGTTCGCTCTCGTCCTTCCACCGTACTCGTCTGAGGTCAGGATCAGAATTAATAATCCCCGATTTCGTCCCGCTGTAGGCACACGTTCAATTTCAACCGAGCAAGTTGCATGCAATTACCCGTAATGCGACTGAAATCACGGTTCACTGGCGAACCGATTCGAATGTGAATTGCAAGTTTGATTGCGAGCGAAGGCATCGCGTAACCGCTTGCGATTATGTGCCGCCATTAAATGATACTCGTAGTCTCGA